GGGATAAGCGGCGGGGAATTCATGGGGATGGGGGGGGGGGGGGGCGGGGGGGGAGAAGGGGGAACCATCAGGGATGCAGGGAACTGTGGGTGGGTAATGGGCAGAATGTCCATTGGTAAGGGGGGAGGTGACGGTATGGTTAGAGGAGGAGAGTCCGTCGGGATAGGAGGTGGGGGTGAGGGGGTCGATGGTGGAGACTGCAACGGGGGAAAGGGCATCCCTAAGGAGGGGGTGGGGGATTGGAGATCGGGGCCGTCCTGGGAGAGGGTCGCCGGGCTGGTCATTAAGAGCATTGATACCATTGCCCATTTTGTTTGGCCTCGCAGTGAATGGGATTCTATTCTCAGATAACAAACGGTTATTAATATCTTCCCACCGTTTGTGGGATGAGGAGGACCGCATCCTCCCTCAGGATCCTGAGGCCCTTTTCTTGTGATGGCTAATCTTCTGGTTCTTTTTCAGCTCAATGTAAGGGACGCTGGACCCCTTTTCCAGCAGGACCTGGTGCAGGTCCCCACCAATGGAACGGACTCAACGGAGTAATCCAATGGAAGATCCTCAGACAAGGTGATGCTCTTATCACTTCCTGGCTTAGGACTGACCGACCGTTTTTCAACCCCCCCCAAAAAAAAAAAAAAAAAAAAAAAAAACAGGCCGACACGTCCTTAGTATCGTCACGGCTTGCCTTTGCCCTCCACCTGTCGTAATGGAAATCCTTGGGCACTGCAACCTCAGCGAAAGCCCGTCATCGCCCGGATGGCTTCCCTCCAGCTGTCATCGGGCCGTCCTTTCACACCTCTCATTCATCATTCATTCAATTTGTAAGCGTGCGGCCTCGTCGCACCACTGAGTCACTGACCAAATGTGCGACGGAGAAAACTATGGCGGCTTTTTTTTTGGACCTTGTATGAGGAGGCCCATGGGTGGGGCCTCGCTTGACTGCTCTCCACATTCACAAAAGACAAAAAAGATGGTGGTGTATCTTTCCATGTTCTAGCGGAAGATTCATCCTCAATGTGCACATTCGGAGAGTAGTGCAGCGAGGCCCATGGTCAGCCACAACTGCAAGACCGAAGAGCAACTGCGAGTGCCAATGGGTGTCGCCAGACGGCACAGGGAAAGGTACAGAATCAAGAGCAGCGGCTCAAAGAAGACGGTCGCCGCAATATACATTCGTTGCTATTCATAGTGCGGGATGGATTTTGCCGGTTCGTGAGGAAAGATGGAGTCGTATTCTTTTTTTTTTTTTTTTTTTTTTTTAAATTTGGACCATTTCTCGATTTATGCGTGTCATCCTTGCGCAGAGGGGCCATGCTAATCTTCTCTGTATCGTTCCAATTTTAACGGATGTCCCAAAGGACTTCTTTTTTTTCTTTTTTTCTTTTTTCGTGTGCCGTGCTTGGCGAGGCGGGATGAATTCTGACTGTCCCGGTGGAAAGATGCAGTCGTATTTTTACGTTTCGTGTGCCGTGTGTGGATGAGCGACGACTAGAGTCCCAGAGCTGGTTCGTTGCCCCCTTTCTCAGAGGCAAATTTCCTTCTTTCTTTCTTATTTCAAAAAAAAAAAAAAGAAAACAGCTCGTGCATAGGGTGTTCTGTGATTAGCGCAGGTGATTGGAGCATCCTCTCTAATCGGAGCTGCCCTGCTTATCTGAGACCAAGGGGGGAGGAGGGAAGAACGAAACGCCGCCCTCCTCCCACCTTATCAGCACCCTCGGCCGCGGTGGTGGGACACCATGGTAAGGTCCTGGTTGCGCCACTCGCCACCCACCCGCCAACATTTGGAACGCACATGGACAGCGCATCTGTCCAGATGCATTCATAACCTTTGCGAAGTTGGCGCACGGCGGGTGGTCCAACCAGGCCCTATTAAGTGCTTCGTAGCAGCCACGCGGTGCAAATAAAGAGCGGCAGCGATCGAGAAAGCTCATTAGGAGAACCGCTTTCGGCGGCGATTGATTGCATCGCTGCATTTCCGCACTCCTGAGTCCTGACTACGTTCATTGCTCTTTCGGAGTTCACCATCTCCTCTCTGTCGTCGTCTTCTTAGAGATTCCTGAGTCGATTCACTCTCGCGTTCGTGCGTCTTCGCTCTTACAGGGCAGGCCATCATCGCCCAGGAGCTCTTCCTTTCGTGGGCGAGTTCTCCACAGTCAAAAAGCGAGAGAGAAAAACACCCACACACACCCACACACACACCTACCCACCCACCCACACACACACACGCGCACACACAGACAGACCGAGTTGCAGGCGAAGACGGCGATGGCGTGTATTTGGTGGGCGTTTCTGGCGCTCCAGATGCTCTGCTGCTGCTGTCTGGCGATGCCGCCAGCGACTGTACAGCCTGTACAGGTGATTGGCCCGCCTGCGTCGAAGAGGATGACGCACGCTGATCTTGTGAAAGCGGTGACGTCCAAATGTTCATTGGTTCTGACATCTGACGTGGTTCTGACAGGCAATCTGCCAGCAGCGAACAACGCAGCCTGTCCTAAGATACGGATCGTCGGCCGCTGCAGTGGGCGCAAGCTTTGCAAGATCGATGGCGTGGACAAGTACAGCTTCGTTAATGGCGCGTATGATCTGCTTCTGGAGAACTTGGAGATAACGAGGATGCGCAGCGCCGACCCGAACAGAGCGCCAGTTATTTCCGGTGGCTCCGCGACTGTGCGACACTGCCGCGTGACAAAGAACGTCAATGGCGTGGGTGACGGCGTGGTCCGCGGCCGTCTGACGATCGAGAACACCGTCTTCGAGGACAACCGGGGAGGTGTGCTCTGCCTGGAGGACGAGAGGGGCAGCTTTGCCAACGCGACGGATGTCGTCTTTCGTCGCAATCGAAACGCGCAAGGCGGCGCGGTGTCGGCGGTGGAGAGTAGTTTCTACTGCACGCGCTGCTTGTTTGAGCGCAACGTCGCGGAGGAGGCGGGAGGAGCAGTGCGCTTGACCGACAGCGACGGCACTAGGGCGAGGTTCAAGCACTGCAGGTTCGTGGGGAACAAGGTCACGGGCAAGAAAGGGCAAGCCTTCGGGGGTGCGGTCTACATCTCCAATATCGATCCGGGGGTGAGTTTCTGCCACTGTCAATTTGACCGCAACATGGCCGCCGGGAAGCTGAATCACGTGTATATCGACGGCCTGGAGGACAGCATAGCCTATTTCTGCCCTGCTCGCCCACGATCTGGAATCGTCATTACTCCCAAGACCAGCGAGGCCTTTGTCAAGGATGGGTGCACGGGGTGCAAATAGCCAAAATTCCACATCGGCGCACGCTCGGAGAGATGCAACTTACCTCCTTTCTGTTCTGACGTGTTTTTTGGCGCGCGCGCGCGCGCGCGCGCGCGAGAGAGAGAGAGAGAGAGAGAGAGAGAGAGACTGAGGTCGAAATGGGACCTTGGCAACCTGCTGCTCTCTGCTTGCATATTTCTGCACCTCTGTTCCTGCACATAGTGACATCACGGGATATTTTAATTTTAATTCGTCTGCTCTTTACTTCGCCCTGTCTTTGCCTTTGGGACCTGCTCTTCTCTGCTTGCATATTTCTGCACCTCTCTTCCTGCATATAGTGACATCACGGGGATATTTTAATTTTAATTCGTCTGCTCTTTACTTCGCCCTGTCTTTGCCTTTGGGATAGACTTTAGGGCGCTTTCATGAATGTGGAAATTTGAAATGCGGTGCTCTTTATTTACCCCTGCCCGTAAGATATATTTTTTCACATGTGGAAATGGGACCTGCTGCTCTCTTTGTATATATTTCCGTTCCTCTCTTCCTGCATATAGTGACATTAGGGGATTTTTTTTTTTTTTTTTTTTTTTTTGGAGAAACAGTAGGGGATATTTCGATTCGTCTGCTCTTTACTTCGCCCTGTCCATCCCTTTGGGATAGATTCACTGTAGTAGTACTTCTCCTGCTCTGTTATTGCCTATATAGTGAAAGCCTACTTGACTAAGGTGAGCAGTTAACATGTCCTTCAAGAGCGTCTTAAGTATAGGAGATATAGTTGGCACGCCTGTCATGCACCTGGCCGTAGATGTGGACTAGTAGATATAGACTAGTACACGAAGAGCCTTTGGCCATAGCCCTGGGCCAGATCCATCGATCGCGTGCTCTAAAGTTGGTCCTTATTCTTCACTTTAAATCTCACGGCAGCCACTTGGAGTTCTGACTCCGGTATCTGGCCGTCTGTGAAAGCTAGGTCCTGAGGCGGATTAGAATGACTCGTATTATGGGGTCTGCTTTTCTTTTATGTTTTTTTTTGTTTCTCTTCTCATCTCCTATCCTCTAAAATCGGGATTTCGTCCTTCGGGACATCGGTTATAATTGGAACCATACAGAGAAGATTAGCATGGCCCCTGCGAAGGGGGGGGGGGGGGGRGGAATGAATAAAAAAAAGAGAAAAAAAAAAAATCGGGATTTCTTTTCGTTTCAAACTCGACACTGCAATCAGACTCGCTGTCTTTCCACTTCGCACCTACGCAAACAGATGGAGATTCACACTGAAATCAAGAACACAGTTCAGATGCAAGTTCTCCTCAACAGGCTATGGCGCATCAGCGCCTGAACATCCCAACCTTCGTCACTGTGTCCAACCCCACTGTTCACACATGCTCACTCTGGATCACCCTGAATACCACCCACCACACACATACACTATGTCTAACCTCCTCCTACAGCGGCTATGGCCGCACTACCACTACTGGCTATGGCTACGATCTCCCTTCAGCCCACTTCGACTTCAGGCAATCTGCAGACCACCTTCGCACAAGACCCTGTAGCAGCGCTTCCGCATGGCTTACGCAGCGAATGAATGAATGGCTGGGCGCTGCCTCTTGATTTATACTTCTGTGACTCGTTGGTCTGCCCCTTTCCCAGACCCTTGGTGTACACAGTCCCACAGGGTACTTGATTGATTGGACTCTGACTGACTGGGACCGGTACCGCTGACTGCATGGGTTTGCACTGCCAACTCGATGCAGTCGCACTGCCAACCTAGTGCAGTTGGGCTCACCACTTGCCCACTTGCCTTTGACTGAAACGTGAGACACTTCGAAAGGCCACCTTCCGGAAGTCTGTGGACTTGGCCTTTCGGGTACTGTAGCAGCTACGACCTTTGACCTTTCAGGACTGTAGCAGCTACGACCTTGACCTTTTAGAAGTCCTACAGCTATGACCTTGACCTTTTAGAAGTCCTACAGCTACGACCTATATGAAGCTGTGACTCCTAGTAGATAGCCTACAGATGACAAACAACTACCAAAACACAGGTCACGGGTTCAAACACTGGATGTCAACTGGATACTGTACATGGGCAAAGTGAGGTCTGGGGATCGAACTCTAGGGCCCGCATCTGTGACTGCAGAAACTTCAAGGTGAAAACCGTTTCAACACCAATTTTAAGGAGCTTTTCTCAGCTTATAGCTGCAGCCTACGATCAAGACAGGGATGCGGTTTTAGGAGTTTTAGAGTGGCTCAGGCGGAAACTCTTGGAACTACTAGCAGCGGTGCCACCTGGAGCAGTGAGAGTGCAACAAGGGGCAGTGGGAACGCTACTGGTCAGGTGGTAAGTGAGAGCCGGTGAAGAGCAAACTTGAGTTGTTCCCATTGTGATCAATATGCTATGAAGATCCAAGGGAGCATGGTGGGAAACCCGTCATGGCAGCTCGGGCTCTTTACAGGGTGTTTGGAAAGCCATAATGAGAGAGTAGCCCTGATGGAGAAGAGGGATTTTGTTGGTGAGATGATCTAGCTGGCACATGACTTTGTCTTGGCTCCCAGGTCTTTAACAGTAGATTTGGTCTTGGGGGATCAGATATCGATATTGGTGTTTTGCTTTTCTGAGTGCTGTTAACGGAGGCAGTGTGGGTAGCGGCACTGCGGAGACAGTGTGAGTGCTACCGGCAGTGGTGGGAACACTCCTTGCTTGTAGCTAGCATAAAATTTAACAGGGTAGGATGTGATGCGCAACCTCACACCCCGTGCGGCGTTCCGTACTTCAGACGCCGATCAGAGTAGTTGAGGGTGTGGCCGAGGATTTTTGGCCGTGGGGTTGAATCACCCAGGCGAAACAGAGGATTCTTGTTTCGGGCGGAGGGTTATCTTGTTAGGGGTTCGATCCGTCGTCGAGTGCAAGGGACGGAGGAACAGATCATTCCAAAGGGACCATCAACAAAAACTCATAACGGAAAGGCAAATGGAATTGAAAAATGAGGACGGAGGAGCAGAGTTTTTCCGCTTCCTGCTGCGCTTTGTTCGCGCAACCCTTGGGACGGTCTCCCCAGAATTGAGTTTCAGGCCTTAGTGTCAGACTCGTCGAGCCCTCACGGATGAACTTGCGCGGGGTCGACTGGGGTCGGGCGGGCCGAGGGAACCCAGGTTCGAAAGTTAGTCGAGAGCTCGTTCTCGTTGCGGGAGAGTTCTGGGAATCGAGCCGCACCTTCGTATCCTTGGACTAGTCTTCGCCAGGAACACGAATATTCCTGACGACACCAGCGGCAGTTAAACCGAGGCCGCCACGTGGCGTGGGCCGCGGACCAGGGCAACACAATTGGATCAGTGTAGGGCAATACAAGGGGAGGGGACGAGAACAGATTGATCAACACAAACCCATGCCCTCCGATATGGCAGGCTCTGGCAGGGTTATACAAATGAACTTGCTCTGTTCGTCGCAGAGCGCTCCGTACGTCCGCGTCGCAGTACACGCTATCATCGTCCGCGATGGGGAAGGTCGGTAGCGTGCTGCGCGGCCCTTGGGGCGGTCGCCTCGGGATTGAGTTTCAGGCCTTGGTGTCAGACTCGTCGAGCCTGCGCAGTGGTGCCAATGACCTTGCGCGGGGTCGATTGGAGTCGGGCGGGACGAGGGAACCCAGGTTCGAAAGTTAGTTGGGAGCGAGCTCATGTTGCGGGAAAGTTCAGGGAATTGAGCCGCACCTTTGTATCCCAGGACTAGTCTTCGCCAGGAACATGAATCCCTCTGATGACACCAACGACAGTTAAACCAAGGCGGCCACGTGGCGTGGTCCGCGGACCAGGGCAAGACAATTAGATCGGTGTAGGGCAATACCAGGGGAGGGGAAGAGAAGCGATCGATCAACACAAATCCACTCCTTCCAATATGGCAGGCTCAGGCAGGGTTATACAAATGAACTTATTCAGTTCGTCGCAGAGCGCTCCGTACATCCGCGTCGCAGTACACGCGATCGTCGTCCGCGATGAGGAAGGTCGGTAGCGCGCTGCAATGGACCGATACGAAGGTCGAGCACGGACAGGGACCCACGCTCACGCCCGCCGAGGCGAACACTGGCTCCGTGCAACGATCATCGAGATCCTGCCTTGCTCTCTCTCTCTCTCTCTCTCTCTCTCTCTCTCTCTCTCTCTCTCTCTCTCTCTCTTTGCGTCAACCTGAGTGTTGGGTCGGGGATCCTAGGTTATGCCGCGTCGCGGGGACACAAACGACGGATCTCTCCTGTTATGGGGTGAAATCGAGGGGCTAGGCCCACCCGTTTTGCCTGGGTCCTGTGTCGCTCGAATGGGAGAGGGATCATGAAGAGGTGGGCGAGGAGTCCTGCACATACACGTGGCATTCAGGGGAATTAGGGCAAAAAAGCGGCTCCGGGAATGGAGGAGGGACCAACACACTGATGGTTATTTTTGGATCTTGTGTAATTGTTGCAGAAGTGAGGGGGCATCTTATGGAGACTTGGGCCTTCTTTCCAGGTCTTATGGAAGTTATGGTTATTTCTGGATCTTGTGTTATTGTTCCGGAAGTGAGGGGTATTTCTTTGGGCCCGGGCGCTTTCCAGGTCCCATGGGTAGTTTCTGGAAGCCGGTTCATACCCTGTTTGCTCTGGTCTGGACCTTTCTTGATACGACGATCTTTTCTCTGCTTTGGGCCGAGAATAGGGACGTAGGCTCTAGAGTCTTCTGGTACTTTGGCGTTTTTCGATCCACTATTTCGGTCCTTCTCTCGCCGTCTTTCTACTCGTCACAATCTGGAATTCTAACTCTTCTTTCAGCACTCAGGCGGTTCGATCATGGTATCGGCTATTTGGAACTATCTTTTTATTTCCCTCTGTGGGTTACTGCGAGGTTCCTCTTTCCCGCTATTGGCCTTTTCTTAAATAGGGACTTCGATACATCAACAGACACTTGACGATTCCGGTCCGGCACCGGATGAAACGCGTAGGGTCGTCACCGGAAGAGCTCGACCAGGGTTTTGACGATGATGGACACGACGTCCTTTTTGGGTTCTAGCTCGATAGGCTGGATGTATTGTTGAATCTTTTAAGCCTATCATGTTACGTTCGAGAGACTTTGACGTGTCTACTCTCTATCCTTCCTTGCCTACTTTCTGCTGTCTTCTTCTCCTATTCCTTCCTCTTCTCTCTTTCTTTCTCCCCCCCTTTCTTTCCCACTCTCTTCTTTTTGAGTCTCTTGATCTGTGATTTCTCTTCATGTCATGATTGAGTTGCTTAAGTTAGGCCCGTGGGCCGACACTGGTATTGGCTTTACATGATCAGTAAAGTGCTAACCATTTTATCAACGTTGTAACCGCCGTAGACATTACACTACATACATGTGACTCGTTTCTTTCGTCTGCACTTTGACTTGGTAGCTACCGCTACCGTGTGTTTTTTCGATCTCAGATTTTTTCTCTCCTGATTGTTGAAAGATGGCGGGACTTCCGCCGAGAAGAAATGGTTGTTTTCAGTGCGGGGCTGCTTATCACTGGGCCCGTGACTGTCCGCATCGAGGGCCAAGATCTGTAGCCACTGGTGCGAACGCAATTCCTACGACTGCTCCGTTACTTGCGCTGCCACCCCCTAATGGCTCTGCCGCTGCCTCTACTGCTAATTATGCGCCTCCAGTATCCAGTCAGCAACGGGCGAGCTCGGCCGAAGCATCCAGTTACGGAAATCAGAGTCGGCTGAATTTGTGGACCAGAAACCAAGAGAAGTTGGACATGTGCTACAATAGATGTATGGAGGATAGGCAAAGGGAGGAGAAAAGGAGGGAGGAGGAGGAGAAGGCGAGGAAGGAAAAGGAGGAGGAAGAAAAGCGTCAAAAATGGAAAAAGGAACGTGAACAATTCGAGGCGGATATGGACTGTGTGTCCGAAATCACGTTCAATGGGGGTTTCGAGTTGAACGGTTCAACTCCCGTTGAATTCCGTTTCAACTCCGCGTTATACCCCGTTACAACGTGGTTCAACTCGGACCGCGGATATTTTTTTTTGCAGGCAAAAAATAAGTAAAAAAAGAAAAAAACATATGGGGGTGTATATATTTTTGCTCTCTACATCCCCATATTTTTATTTTTATTTTTTGAGTATGTAAATTATTTTTAAAAAATCAAAAACAAAACCAGACTCAAAACACACAATTTTTATTTTTTTTTTATTTTTTATTTATCAATAGACTGACTGGCTGATTGATTGGTGGGGGATGAGTTGCCCCCCCAACCCCCACTCAATCACACCCACACCCACACACACACACACACACACACACAACCCCCACCCAATCACACACACACACACACACACACGCACACACACACACACACTACCACGCCAAAGTGCGGGTGATTGATTGATTGGGAGGGGATAGGTCGCCCCCCCAGCACCCACCCAGGCCCATCCCCTACCAATCAATCAATCAAAAAAGGAAAAACAAA